ATGCTGTACATTCTGCCTTAATTGCAATGGGATATAAAGATATGGAGATCGTCGTCGCTCAGACAGGGTGGCCTTACCAAAGTGGCCCGAACGAAGTCGGCCCCAGCTTGGACAATGCAAAAGCCTATGTTGGAAACTTGATAAACCACCTGAGGTCAAATCTTGGCACCCCACTTATGCCTGGAAAAACTGTTGACACCTATATCTATGAACTCTATGATGAGGATCTAAAATTAGGGCCAAAGTCGGAGCAATCATTCGGGCTTTTTGGAGTTGATGGCTCCCCACATTATGATACTGGTCTCTTCAAGAGCTCAAAAGTGAGATAATTCATTCCTTATTTTTATGTCTACTCTAAATTGCTTAAGCTAAACTTATTTTTGTGTCGAAAATAAAAATTCTTCATAAATAATATGAGTAATTTCTTATGCACTGTGTTCCATTTTTCGTTTTCGCTTTCATGCAACTTAGCTTTGATGCGTAAATCCTTACATTTTTCTTGGAATGTTACTCCTAGAATTCAATGACGCCAACATCTCCTGCAAGTCCCAAACCAGCACCAGCACCAACAGCGACATCGACACCAAAACTCGAGGGAATTTGGTGTGTGCCAAAGCCAGCAGGCGTCACAGATGCTCAGTTGCAAGAAAATATTACGTTTGCCTGTAGCAAAGGGATTGATTGTAGTCCAATTCAGAAAGGCGGTGCTTGTTTTGAACCGAATACTTTAGAGTCGCATGCCAGTTATGTGATGAATCTTCTTTATCAAACTACTGGTAGGAATCCATGGAGCTGCGACTTCTTTCACACCGCAACTCTCACTACTATTAATCCTAGTAAGTTCTTATCAACGTGATTTTAATGAATGAATTAATTACCTTTGTTTCATGATCATGATATTGGAACAAACTACTAAAGGTCAAAAACCACCTTAATTAATTATGAAAACATTAATCGACGTGTTAGAGTTTTGATTATTCTTTGTAACAAGGTTAACTTTTTAAGATAGAATCTTAAGAATTAATACAAACCATGTCATTTGGTGATTCATCGCATCAAACGTTTCATTTAATAGCCATCTTATTCATGGACTGTTGTTCATGTACATGATCCCTTCCTGTTTTATTCAAAAAGGAATTTGTTCGACGATATATTATTGCTTATTCTTATGGTGTATTTTTTTTCTATTGTAGGTTACAAGGGTTGCATTTATCCTAGTGGGTAGTACCTCGAAATGGAAGAGAAATTTTTGAGTAGCGTGGTAATATTAATTTTGAAAAATAAGGTAGAATTGTAATCAAAAGTGTAAATGTTTTGGTCTTCGGTAAGTAAGCATTAATATAGGATCTTTTAGGTTAATTTCTTTAATTTCACAACGAATTATATCCGATGAGTCGATGACTCTAATTTTTGTAATGAAATTTTTAGTTGAACCCCATTTTTTTAATAGTGTATTTTTTTCAATTCTCATTTTCTACCACATCAATTCTTCTATAAAATAATAATACACGTATTTCAAGAACTTTTTTTTTTAAAAACTTTTTAACTACAAATTCTCCAAAAAAATCACTATTCCATAATATATTTTTCTCCAAAAATGGGGATCAAACAGTGACGTGTGGATGTCACCTTCACATGACCTTGCAAGATATGGTAACTGGATTGGGAACATTAATACTCCCTCCGTCCCATCTATATAGCTCAGTTTCCAATTTTTCTTTTCCAAAATATATAGTCATGTTTCTTAATTTAAAATATTTTATTTTGTTCCTTTACATCTTTATTTAATTTGCCTAGTTACGATCAATTTTTCCAACTTAATTTGCCTATGTCTTGAAATCATCCGAATATATGCACATTTTCCAAGGATTTTGATAACTCTCGCATGTATCTGTATTGAGGAGGATATCAATGCTCCAAAATTGGCTATAATTCGTTCCATGATGATCAGTTTGCCATTTGTTAGAGTAAATTTATTTCAAAGAAGAATAATTTTATTTAGCATCATTGATAGGCTTAATGAAATGTAAAATTAAGTAACTCATTTAATTGTGTCTTTCATTTAAAATCACATTAAATGATATTGGAAAAGAACCACTGATTCAAATGTTGTAATTAATAATGAAGTTGTCGAGGAGGGAAAGAAGATACCATTTGCTCGAAAAGATAAGAGGTAAGAAAAATATGGGAGGAAAAGATAACATCTCAAGTCAAGGGTTTTATCCTATCGTGAGATAGGATTTAAATTTAGAAGTAGGCTTTGCAAAAAGTTAAATCGCTTTGTATGCATCATATCACTTGTGTTTTAACGGTGCATTGTTGTGTAATAACTAATCGTTGTAAAGTTTTACAATACCAATGACGGTTTATTTGAACGCCTACTTTGGCAAAGGTGACCAACAACTTAGTTCTCGTTATTTATTTACAATATAGCTAAATTTCGTCATGAAAAAGGTAGCAAAACATGGTCTATTTGTCATTTTAGAAAACAAATCGTCATAAATAAATTGATTTTAAACTAGAACAACTTTCAGTTGTAGCTAAAACGAAATCTTCTTATACGATCGAATAGAATTTAAAATGCATGTTTATGTGTGATACCATACAAATCGAAATGACTCGAATAACCTGTTAATTTATAAGCATAATCATTCCACTTTTGATTTGATTTGTTAGTTAAATCAATTTAGGCTCTATTATTATGAAATAAATTATAGTCCATGTGAGACAAAATTGGTCTGAGTTAGCTCATCAATTTTCCCATTTTATGCTTTATTTCAGCTTTACTTGAATGTTATGCAACTTTATCAACAACTCTTAAATAAATAATTAATAGTGCGCAAATTTTGTCAGATCCATTGTCGTCCAGCGGTTAGGATATCTGGCTTTCACCCAGGGGACCCGGGTTCGATTCCCGGCAATGGAACTTTTTGGCTTGAATAATCTTTTATTTGATTTGTTCAAAATGACACCACGTTAAACTTTGCTAATGAAACTGAAAGTTTGTTGGGAACATGCGTCCTTTTACAATTACATTGTGTCTAGATATCCAATTGCATCAATAAAAAAGGGGGTCAAGCTCACAGACTATATGGTGCCAATGAAAAATATCACACAAGCAAGAATAGAGGTGTTATACATCAAAGTTTTAACTCGAGGAATCTAAATTAGATGGATTAGTAAAGATTGAATTGCATCAATTGTGGTCTCTTCAAGATACCAATATCAAAATATTGGGCAGACTTCATTACGGTCTTTTCCTTAAGACCACCCGGTCTCAGTAACTACAATTTTTGCTTGTTTGGTTTGGCTGAAAGTTTAACTTTTAGCCCTTGTTTGAGCCACATTATTTTCCTTAGAATACATTTTTGAATAGTTTATTGATGGAAAATGTGTGGTTAAAAAATAAAGAATTTTGGATTTGCATGTAATACTATTTTATTGAAGAATGTGTGGTTGAAATGATGTCAAGTCACTGTTTAAGAATGTATTTTTTTGAAAAAAAATGTGGCTCAAACATGGCCTTAGTAAACTTTGATGATAATAATAATAAATTTACGGATCATATAAAATGTGTGGTTAAAAGTGAATTTGAAAAAATATTATTTCAAAAAATGTGGTAAGATTTGACTGGATTAAAAGGCTGATTGTGTTTAAAACAATGCAATGATGAAATGTTATTTGACATTATATTAATCGTTATGTTAATGATCATGTCACCGTAGCATGATTCTCTCTTTGAATCCCATTGCATTTAAGGCAGAGCGTACAACATCAACCTTTGTGGAATAATATGCAGAACACAGCACTGTATTAGTATTGTAAATAAAGATAATTCCATTTACCATAAGAGAATAAGATTGACCAAGAAGTTCAAGTCGACCGATTAACTCGCAGTTTTCGGGTTGGATCCTATCAAAATTTCAATATTGGTGATAGCAAACGCTTTAATCATCGACTGATCGGCCGATCTTAACATTACTTATGCTATGGTTGCGGACTTCGAAAGGTTCAACGTATTCCCTGGTCAAGGATGGCAGTCGACAAAATTCCCATAGTTCACTCCAATAAATGGAGAATTGGGATTTAGTATTCCAAAAATTCATTTTTTTCAAAAACTCGCATTTTTCAATAAAATAATATTACACACAAATCCAGAACTTTTCCTTATTCTTTAACAACACTTTTAATTGAAGTCCGAACTACATGTTTACAATTTCTGGGATGTTCCCTTGGAACTATCTTGTATCATAATAAATTGAAAATGGCCATTTTTGGATTAGTTTAGTTAATTTTATGATAGTGTTGCTTTTAATTAGAATTTAGAAGATTCTGGAAGCTTGTCAAATGAGACTACTCTAAAATCGCCTTCGAAATAGAAAATTCTTTAGAAATTAATTTTTAAATAAAAATTAAGGTAACTCTCCCTCAGGAATCTTTTCTACAAGACGCAAAAGCAAAAACATGTCAAACAATACCCTAATCTCATATAGATACAATGGTAGCCCCAAAATATAGCCATGAACACGCTTCAAAATTCCAACAGATAAAAGATTGATAGCCAATCAAACCCTAGCAAAATATAAAACTTGGCTAAACCCAAGCAAAATACAAATAAGCAGGGTTCTCACGGGAACTACACATAACATTTCTCTTTATTTTGAGAGAAGGCTTCTCTAGATTTTATAAAAAAAATAATTTTTTGATGAATGTATTTAAAAAGTAGGGAAAATCCACGTCCAAGATTATTTATTGAGATGTATAAACGAAAATAAATTTGAAGAAAATGAATTTTATAAAACCTGCCCCCGTTTGACTACTATTGGAACTTTTTTTTCTCAAACTCATTTTCAACTACACATTCTTGCAATAAAATATTTTACATGCAAATCCAAAAAAAAAAAATCTATTTTTTACCACACATTCTCCAAAAAAATCATTATTTCAAAACTTATTTTCCACCAAAAAAAAAAAACCAATTTTTAATATGAGGTAATATATAAAGAAATTAAATTGTAAGAAAATATTGAATTTCAAAGCAGGCCAAATCCACCGCTGGGGCAGTTGGGAGTCTATTTACCAAAGTAGCAGTAGTCTTTACCAATCACACAAAATTAAGCCCTATTCTCATTTAATATTCGACAAAATTCAGAACCGTTTTACCTCAAATCAAGAAACATCGAAAAATGAAGGCACCAGAACTACCCGCTTGCAACTATGTCGTGGATTGTATCACTGACATTCTCGTCCTCTGATCTAACAGCCAACTTCATGGCTACCTCTTTCGACGCATCAATTCCGAACGACAATCGGACGAGAACCTTCACGTTGCCTATATATAGGCCAGATAATAGACATGAATGGGATCTTGAGTTGCTCGGAACAACCTCTGTTCCCTGGAAAAATATAAATAAAAGAAAATGTACCCTTTCAGCTCCCTCGCAGAACCAAAAGGTTGACAGTAAAAATTTTTATAATTCTAACATCAGCATAAACTACAGACTAAGAACAGTGAATAATGGACTGGAAGTCAACACTTCATCGAGCAAAATCCTCAGAGATTGGAAAATTTTAATTTCTTCTACACAATGCTCTAGAGCTAGGAAATTATTGAAATGCACCTTGTGAACTGTCATGGCTAGCTTAAGAGAAAAAGAGAAGAAATCTGGAAGTCCAATTATATGGTGAAAATGCAAATGGCGAAATACTAACCTCGCAGGGCTGCATGCCAAGAAGATTGATGACAGTGTTAACAGATTCTGCCAGGCTTTCTCTTGGCCCGAGACCATATTCATCAATACGTTCAAAATCAGGGCCCATGCTTTCCCAGGCATTCCTAAAGTTCGAGACCCCTACTTTAACCATGTAATCAGCTGCAACAACCTCAAAATCTTCAAGTTGGTATTCATCTTCCACTCCATCGTCTTCAGCCTCACCAGTGGAGGTATCAACCTAGTTTGCCAAATAATGAAAATACAATCATTAATTAAAGATGTTATGACTGAAGTTGCAACCGTGAGCATGGCATATTCATGTATATTCCAAAATTGACAATGTATACAATTATAAAAGCAATATATATTCATCCTTCATTCTACAATTATATGATGTGCATATCTTTTTGCTTCAAATACATGTCTACCGTCCAGTTACATGTTGGAAAACTGAAGCTACAAATTCCTATAGTGATGCGCCTAAGAGCATGTTTGGCTAAGCTTTAAAAATTTACTTGTAAGTAAATAAATTTCACATATATTATTTATTATCAGTCCAAGTTGGAAATAAATTAGTTCCCTTGAGAGTAAGGTCAGGGTTTCTTTCAAAATAAGTAACTTAAAAGTTAGGGGGGGAAAAAAGGTAAAATATCCAGACATGCATGGAAATAAAAAGTAACTTCTACTGCTATCAAGCTTAGCCAAACATGATGATCAGTTGTGAAATTAATCCACGAAATCTATTGGACCAATGGGAGGTATAAGTACCACCTCTTTAACAGTAAACCTCAGCATGTTTGAAAACTTCCCAACAGCAGGGACACCTTCAGGTTTTTCAAATGCCACAAATGTCTGTCCAGGTGTGTCATATGGAAGAGATTTTAAAGGTTTCGATCCTACTTCAGAAAATTCTTCAGCTTCAGAAGCATCCACAATAACGAACACCTGACAGGAAAGAAAAAATTGAGAGAACAAATTCTCAAACTAATGTCAGAATTCAGTAAGCAAAAGAAAAATCTCACATTCTCCAGCAGCTGTTCGGGAATTGTGTTAGTGCAGTTGTACTGGAATACCACATGGCGATCAAAAATGTGCTTGACAACATTAACTGCATACTCAGTTTCAGCTTCAGTAAGCTCCACCGGTGCTGATGACTGATCATGCAAAACAAAGTTCATAAAGTACATTAATTGGAAATTATAAAATTTAATCAGAATGAGGGATTCAGCAAAAGATATTTGGCCCAAACCTTGAAAAGCTTTCCAAAACTTGTGAACTCCGGGATAGAGGAAAGTATCCTTTCATAAGTATCAGCTGTTGAAGCGGGGCCAGTTGGGGGAGCACCCAAACCAGTTGGCTTTTTCCCGGGGGCTTTTTTCTCAACAAGGGGCTGAGATTTGACCTCTTTGGGTACGGAATTAATGTCAAAAGGTTCTTCTGATGGGTTCTGTATCTGTTGCAAAGAAAAGAACAAATGGTGACTTCAAACAGTATATGAATCACAAATAGAAAACAACAAGAATGCTCAAAAAATAAAAAAGAGAAAAAAAAAGCAACAACTTAAGATGAATACTCACATAATTTTTCAAACTTGTCTCCATATTAGTCAATGGAATATCAAGAGAGCCAAACAAAAATTCCTTCACATCTTTATCAGTTTCAACAACCGAACCATCACCCCCTAGGGTATTCAAGTACAGGGTTGCTCTATCTCGGACCTGCAAAAGAAAAGGCAAAATGATGTCCTACAAGATAAACTGTAAACTCAATGTAGCAATAAGCAATCCTGGTCACAGTATTGGTTGATAATGCTCTACTATCGTCCTTGTTCATACTAAAACTTTTAGATTCAAGATAGCTACTTCAAAGCCCTAATTTACCATTCATCCCTTCGAAGTCTAATCAGGTAAAATTATATCATCAATGATCAATGAATCATGCACCAAAAGATGCCATATTGAAGATGTCACGTGAATATATCCATACCAAAAGCAAAAGGATAAAGCCTTGGGGTCGATTTTCAATGCAAGTATATGGTAATAGGAGATTTTATATCATTATCCTTACCGGATTTTATATCATTATCCTCGTGACTGATTGCATATGCTAAATAATATTGATAAATCTAATATGACTACTTACATATAGTTTTATATTGATATAACTAATTAATATTAATTTCTTTCTCTAATACCCAGATTAAACTTTTAGGAACCTTATCACAATTTTTTCAATTAAAAAAATACGTGCAAATCTTGTTTCTTAATCTTAGCTTTTTCCATATATAGAATTACAAAATCGAAAAATAAATTTAAAAAAAAAGAAGACTGGAATAGTGAACCATATTTGTTGTAGAAAGAACATAGATACAAGTCCCTGTTTGACAACCATTCTTTTCAAACTCTTATTTCAATACTCATTTTCAAACAAATATTCACACAATAAAATATTCTGCACGCAAGTCCAAAACTTTTCCTCACTTTTGAACCACATATTCTCCTAAAAATCATTATTTAAAACATTGTTTTTTGGAAATAATGGCCACCAAGTAGGGCTAAATTGGCTAGCACTTTAATCCAAATTTTCTAGTTTCTGCCCTTTGTGAGGAGCTGACATTGTTGAAACAGTAGTACTGACAAATGCAGCATTACTATTAGGCCAGAAATTCTTTTCCATTCAACAGAAGGAATTCTTAGGAACATTATGGAGACACGTCCCTAACCTATTTCCATTTATAGAATCTGGGACTTTCAAATCTTGGAAATTTGAGACAAAAAAATCATATATGTGCAATTACAAAAACAGTAACCTGCTTAAAAGTCTCAACAGGAAAGGAAACTGACCTCGTCATCATTATCAAAAAGGCAACGTCTCAACAAAATAAATATGCGGGGCTGCAACAAATAAAGCAAATGATTACCTTCAAGTTAATAACTCATGTCTACTAAACAATGATGTTAATAGAGATTAATCCTGTCATACTTTTAACGAGTCAATCATTGCACCAAATTTCGCCAACGTACTGACAGCACTGGCCCGGACAGTTGCATTCTCAAGTATCACTCGATTGTAGATGTACCGGATATATTTACTTGGATCAGAGGTCTTTGGTCCTTCATTTCCGAGAAAGTGTAGGATCTAACAAGGTATCATTAAGTACAATTGTAGTTAAGTAGTCAAAAATAAAAATAAACTATATTAACATTCACCAAACATAAATGGCATAAAAAATGAAAGGTGTCATGGTCAAAGGTCAACCTGGGTGGAAAGATACGTGAATTCACAGTCCTCAATGAATTCACATAAGTGAAGTAGTCCACTTTCTTTGGCATCGGGAATATCTCTTATTAAGATCACAATGGAATCAACAATTGCCTTTTTGTACTCAAATCCACCTTCTTCTCTCAAAATATTGCTCAAAAAATTCATCCTGAAGAAAACACATGGGCAAGAGCATAATTAGATACTAGTAGAGTAGTACTCTTGAAATACATGGAACATGAAGTTCATCAATCGGAATCCAAGGAAATGAACAATAACTTACAGAGATCTGTACTTGAGGGGGAATTTCAGACACAATGATCTTATAGCGTCTACAACAACAATCTTGAATTCATCAGCAATATCAGACATAAAATTTGTAATCTGTTTCATCAAACGATCAACACTCGATTCATTGCCCGTTTTCAGTAGGGTTGTAATGGCAAGGGTAGCAATGCTTCTATTTTGATCTGAAATCAAGCTCTCCATGTCTATATTACAGTTCGTTACAGCCATAGGATGTGTCATAGCCACCTACATAAAAATTGTAAGTTTGAAATCACTCGCATCATAAAATAGACAGTAAACAGAAGGGAGCAAATATATTGGGGATTGCGGTAGTTAAACCTTGAAAGGGTTCTCTAGTAATCGACCAAATATTGAATCAACCAAAATATCATTTTATATGATGGACAACAGAAAGTGCATAGAATATTGAACTGTGATGCCACAACTCCTCTGGAAACAATACTTCTAGTGGAACTAAAAAAGATTATGAAAACAGATTACATAAACAAAATGTCTAGCACATTCGAGACGTACACTCCACTAACACAGTTTAGTTATATATCTGTCCAGAAACTAGACATTATCAAGTCCTAACTCCTCGGAGAAACAAGTACTGAAAGACCTGTACCATCAAATATCCCACTTCCATTATATAATTAAATTTGGTCAACATAATGCTGGTGCATGGAAGGTTGTGTAGCCATACAAAAGCTTAAAATTCTCAATGCCCTCAAAATGAATTTCCTTACAATAGCTGCAAGATATAAATGCTCTAATATGTAAATGTCTAGCAATTACAGGTTCTCAGATTACCAAAGAATGTGACGTATATACTTAAATTATCAAATACATCTAAAATCAAAAAGATTTCCAGCCAAAAAATAAAAAATGACAAATGTGAGTAATCAATGTCTGGGAGATGTAATGTAATTTACACTGCAGATAATGTTATGTAGCATCATGAACTCTTCAGTTATTCATGTCTAATTTTCTATCATAGAGCATCGGCAAGCTCATTCGGAGTCATTATTAAATGAAAAATTCTATAGATTCAGTTTGATTTCATAAAATCAATAAGGAAAAAAAGAGAAGTATAACTACATCTTGAGAGAGGGAGGGAGTCAATTAATGCAAAGAAAATATAAATAAAAAAAGCATGAAATGATTTCTTTGTACAACAACCTATTCAAACTCATTTGTATTCCTCAGCATGAAGCTTGTAGACTCGTTAAAAATCCCAATTGTTCAAACTTTCCTTTTTTGGAATGGAATAGAGTCAAGATCAAACCTTATTTCATGGTATTTACATGCAGTTCCTCTTTAAGAAAGTCCCCGAGAGGGCTTAGTTGATCCATGATTTATATTTCATCTTTAGTTTCCTTTGGTTCATAAATATGTCAAAAGTTAAAAGTATAGAAAAAAAAAACCTTATTCAAAGTCCGGACAGCAGCAAACCTAAGCACTGGCTTCGATGAACTTAAGAAGAGCTGCAATACAGTTATTGCAGGAGTCAACTCTCGGGTAGTCACACCACTCAACACTGTGATCGCCCTCGCTGCTTCAAAGATAACCATCTCAGCTTTGTGACGGAGACAGCCCTCAAGATAGTCATAGAATGGGCGATCCCCAGTCTGGGTATTTACACCCGACTCTCTTATAACCTACGCATGTCAAATGATAGCATGATCATCAGTACTTATGAGATATGAAAAAACTAAATAAAGACATTTCATTCATTATCAAATTAAAACAACACCTGACTAGTGTAACGAATCAGTAAGCACTGAGCTAAAGGTGAACGAACAGTCCCCTTTGTCAAGCTGGTTACTAGCTTGCTAACAGCTAACCGATCATTTTGTCGTATCTGCAAATTTAGCAATAGAACATGTAAGCAAAAGCCAACCATGTGTTTACAATGAAGACACTCCATAAACCATGATTCAGAGAATCAAGCGTGAAAAGAACACATTTCTGTGCGGCTGTGAGTGCACTTTTCATCCTTGTAAGCTGACACAAAGAAAGAGACATATTGCCTTAAATTTTAAGCAATAAATTCAGCTACTCCTTTCAGAAACAAATCAAAAGTCTAGAGAAAAAGGACTAAATTATAGATCCTTATGATTATCCACCTCTCTCTCCCCTACCCCCAAAAATAAGAATGGAAAAAACAGAAATTCCTTTGTTATGTGAAGTGGAAGAAGAAAATATGCCATTATCCACCGAGAGAGAGATCATAGGAACATCTTTATGCCCATGATTATTCATTTTATTATACACAACAATGGTATGGAGTCAGCGAACTCAAACCATTTTTCAGAAATATGGCACCTAGAAGTCTAGAACACAATTCATGGAGACTTTTCCACTCATACAAGTATTGTATCCAACAGAAACATACATTTACACGGTGAGATGAGCAAAAATCAAAAAAATAACAAATGATTCACAGAAGCAAACTATAGAAATTGCAAGCTAGTCAACAATTTGGACGAAAATGAGGAGAATCATTCCTCCTTTTCATGAAGGCGAAGAAGAAGCCAAAGCCAAAACCAAGCAAACAACTTTTGAATTCTCTTGTACTAAAAATGAGAACAAGGTATGAAAATTATCAGGAGAGGCACCCAGAAAAATTTAATTTCAAATTCTTCCTGCGCTGTCCCCAGCGGTAGTTTAGGAGTAAAATTTCTTATTATTTGCATACGATAATGTGGCTGAATCTCATATGCTCTAATTTTGTTATTCAAATACAAATCAAAAAACTTGAAGCTGGGAGCATAAACAGATTGTGTGGAAGCAATTTGGAGTTATTGAAACAAGAATAAAGTTGAATCAACTCGGAAATTTGTAGAGAATAATTTTATTGTAATGAATTGATTGTTGAAAAAATTATTGATTCTCTCTCTCCCCTACCCCCAAAAATAAGAATGGAAAAAACAGAAATTCCTTTGTTATGTGAAGTGGAAGAAGAAAATATGCCATTATCCACCGAGAGAGAGATCATAGGAACATCTTTATGCCCATGATTATTCATTTTATTATACACAACAATGGTATGGAGTCAGCGAACTCAAACCATTTTTCAGAAATATGGCACCTAGAAATCTAGAACACAATTAATGGAGACTTTTCCACTCATACAAGTATTGTATCCAACAGAAACATACATTTACACGGTGAGATGAGCAAAAATCAAAAAAATAACAAATGATTCACAGAAGCAAGCTATAGAAATTGCAAGCTAGTCAACAATTTGGACGAAAATGAGGAGAATCATCCCTCCTTTTCATGAAGGCGAAGAAGAAGCCAAAGCCAAAACCAAGCAAACAACTTTTGAATTCTCTTGTACTAAAAATGAGAACAAGGTATGAAAATTATCAGGAGAGGCACCCAGAAAAATTTAATTTCAAATTCTTCCTGCGCTGTCCCCAGCGGTAGTTTAGGAGTAAAATTTCTTATTATTTGCATACGATAATGTGGCTGAATCTCATATGCTCTAATTTTGTTATTCAAATACAAATCAAAAAACTTGAAGCTGGGAGCATAAACAGATTGTGTGGAAGCAATTTGGAGTTATTGAAACAAGAATAAAGTTGAATCAACTCGGAAATTTGTAGAGAATAATTTTATTGTAATGAATTGATTGTTGAAAAAATTATTGAGTCTTTGTTTATATAGGCAATCCTAATAGCTTAATTAAAACCTAAAAAACAAAAAGTAATAAAATTCCTGAAAAAATGAAAAGTCCTAATCTAAACAAGAAATAAAATCCTACGAAAACAAAAAATAATTCTCCATACTATTTGTAATAGAATTATCCTACATCAATCTCCCCGGCATGGGAAAAACCCATCCTCGAGTTTGGTTGAAGAAGGAATAGTAATCAAATTCGGATTAAAAACTTCTACATCATGTTGTAAGAATTTGAACCTAGCTTCGATTCAAGAAAAGTCTCAAGCCACTTCTTTCTGCGTTCTAGACTCATTGAAGCAACCAACATTTGTAGCGGTAAAAATCTGCAAATTTTTGTCAACGATGTCTTCAAACCTATCAATCATTCATTCCAGATTCTAGATCGAGTTTGATAATTTTGTAATCCTTTGATTGATGCACAAGGATGCATGTCACTACCACCACAGCTGACTATCGGCAAAAGGCAAAACCTTACTTTGATATCAATTTTAGTGCAGAAGCAAAAATAAAGTTTTTGAAGCAAGAATAAGGTTGAACCAACTCAAAAAATTTATAGAGAATAATTTTATTGTAATGAATATATCATTGAAATATTAGAAAATCTTTGTTTATATAGGCAAAATAATCTCCTAATCCTAATAGTTTAAGGAAGACAAGTAATTAAAACTTAAAAGAAAAAGTAATCAAAAACTTTAAAAATTTGAACAAGAAATAAAATCCTATTACAACAAGAAATCATTCCTCGTTAGAATTGTCCAATATCAATAGAAAACCTAACAAGGTAGGAAGAGAAACATATATTGGTAAAAGAGAGTCAATTAAATCCTATCAGACAAGAAAATAAAATACCTGATGGAGCAAAGCAAGTGCATGGAATTGCACAAGTGCAGCCCGAGATTGAACAGCTTCTTGTACCTCATTACTCCACCTTTTCACTATCTCTGGGTTTGTCTGTCAAAGAAGTACATGTTATTCAGAAATTTCACTTAACAAGCAGATGGATTTGACTTTTCAAACATTTGGTAGTACCTGTAACAGATGAATGCCACTGACAAGGGCAGCACTGGCAACCACTGGATTTTTGTCAACAATAGCTTGTTTGAGATACCTTTCAATTTGTGTTAGAAGTGTTCCATCAGTTATTCGGCATAAGACACGTATTGCATTTGCCCGATACATATCAGTACGGCTATTCATGTCCTTCATGAGGGAGCTTGTGACAATAATAACCTTCGACGTCAAAAACGAAAGACTTCATTTTCTACTACTCCGAAAGCATGGAATCATTTTTTAAAAGAAAAGGCAAAAATAAAAACAAGGAAACCATATAACCTCATCTGCAGAAGGAGAAAGCTCCTTTATCATGAGATAAACCATTCTCCTGAGACCAATATCTCTGGACTGGAACAGCTTCGTAACAGAAAAAAATACTTCTGTGGCTTCAATCTAGAAATTAAGTGAATAGGAGCTTATTAGATCGAGCTTTGAGACTTCAAAGTAAAATGATGATGAAATACAATATAAAAGAATTAACAAATAAAAGCACCAAGAAAATGTTTGCAATGTCACAAGGTAGACAAGCACGCTGAGAAATCTCGCTGTCTCAAAACACATCTCATCATACACAATTTTCAGAGAAGAAAGTCCATAAAAGGGAGATTTATGAGTCAATATTTCAACTTTATATGCATGTAATTTATATGCATCTTAGTAACCAAGAAGATATAGAAAAACTAAGAGGTAAGACAAGACATATGGATGCATGAGTCCATACAAGTCACTAAAAGTAAACTATGTCATTTCCTTAGAAGTCAGTTACCAGATTGGATGTAAAACTCATCTCATCTTCGCACTTTTGTGGGGGAACTTCAAGTCAAACTCCTTACATATTTAAGATCTTGAAAACGGTAATTAGAAACTAGAAAACAAAATACAATATACACAGGTGATATGCAAGTAAAATATGATCCAAATAAAATGTTCAAACATTTCCAAGTAATCGCCTAGGGCACGATGAGTATATAAATGGAATATACCATAATGTGCTTTCTCAATGCTAAAGGGCTGTTACTACAAATATGCAGAGTAAAGATGTCTGAATGACTCTCTAAACGCGTTTAATTTTATCGTTAAGAATTGAAAAACTTTGGGAATCAAATTAAAATTGATATACTCACAAAAAGACCTACGCTTTAAATTCTATTGCCAGACATGCAGTATTATCAATCTAAAACTTGTGAAAATTTAGTAGTGTTTTAACTCTATGCATCAGAAAGAGCCAGAGAGGTGTAATTTGTAACACCATGATAAACTGACCTTTGTAAATGTCTCGCCCTGATTCAGAAGATACAGGAGCTTCGTGATAACCTAAAAAAGTAAAAAGTAAAAAGTAAAAATGTTGATTATTTAATACAAATTCACAAAATCCATGTTTGAATTGATTTGCAAATAACAAAAAGAAGTACCTGTGAACATCTCCTGGCATCCAGCTGAGGGTCATTGAAAACTCTAGCTTCTTGTAACACTGCACCCTTCTCAATCCCCAAGAAGGGAGAGTACTCTGCTGGAAAATAACAAAATCAACATCAGCATGCCTAGGGCGCCAAACTAAGTAGACCAAAACAGCAACTGACTTATCAAAAATAATCTAATTCCAACCAATCAAAGAAATTATTCTATCAATCCTATTCTGCATCCCATGAACATCACAATATACACAAGTTCACAAAACATATACCTATAACTTAATCAAGGAAATAATTAACTCAAATAGTTATAAATCAATCAAATCATTCAATTAAAATGCCTATAAGTGGAAGAAAACTATAGTTTACCAAAATCATATGCTAAAAGTTATTCAATTTATGATTAAATCCATAATTCCGAAACAACAGGAACATACAAAACTCAAGTACTACCAAAATCATATGCTAAATGATCAAGGGCAATCAATTTTAGATTAAATCCATATCCTAATATACCGGGAAATGAAGATCTGACACTGCAATGTAGAAAAGGGATAAACTAAAGCGTGAATCGAAACCGAATTTGAATCAATTGAATAACAAAAACAGAATTTATTCGACAATGAGCAGTAAATAACAAAAAAAAAAATCTGAAGACACACCTTCGTCATCGCGATCGTCGTCTTTCTTGACGAGAGGTTGGGCCATTTTACAGAGATCTGTGAGGTGAGATGTAATAAAGAAAGAAGAATTTGCAGATCTCTCTGCTGTGCTGTGGATTTCGGTTTAAAAAATTCGCAATGACCTCTTATATATCTCTAGCAAGTAAACTCGACTGCAGATCTCTCTCAGGAGGTCCTAATCCAATGTAAGCACTAACTGCAGATCTCTCTCTGGGGTGTGCGGGTATGGCATACATTCTATTTTACAATTTTATCCCTACTACATAAATAATTAGCCCCTGTTTCATCCCCATTAAATTCAATTATATTACATTACATTACATTTTTTTCTCTCCTATTTTCAACCACACAATCTTACATAAAATAATATTACACATAAATCGAAAACTTTTCCTTCTTTTTCAACCATTCATTTTTCTAAAAAATATTATTCCCCTCATTTTCATTTTCAGATAATGGGGGTCAAACGGGGACAATAAATAAGGAATAGGAAGGTACCATTGTCAAGAAGAGTGAATTCTTTCATTTTATTATACCGTAGCAAAAAAAAATTCATCGTGAGAGTGAAAATGATATCGTATTGTCGATGACGTTTCATTTCACTACTCTATAAAAGGGGGAATGAGGAGTCTGAGCTATATATTTTTTTGCCTTTTAATTTCCATTTCCTTTTTTATCCCATTTCATCCTGCATTTACAGTGCACTCACTGTTTATATTTGAAATATATATATATATATATATAACACACCTTTTATTATTTCCCTATTAATTTTCATTTCATTTTTTTATCCATTTTTACCCAGTATTTACTATTCAATTGATATCGTTTCCTTACGTTGAATGACAAAACGATATCATTTTATTCCATTAATACGATAAAAGATTGAATATATCTTATATATAATTATAGAAAAATATTAATTGTTTATTTTTTTAATATGATAAAGGATTGAATATATATTACATATAATTATAGAAAAATATTAATTATTTAATTAATAAATAATTAAATCTTGATCAATTTATCCAGCAAGAAATGAAATGCTTACCCAAAATTCGGTCTTCTCGCTCTATCCGCTCTGCGTTGCGTGGAGTATGCTCTTCACGCAGCGTGAAGAGTTTTTCCATTCCAACACGCCTTAAATCTGACATTTCTCCATTTTCACACCCACTTTATTGCAACCATCACCTTTACTGCAACATTTCTCCATTTTCATATACCATTTTACTTCATCCACACAGTCGGTACAATAACTTTTCATTTCTTCTTCACCTTCCTTCTTCGTTCCTTTTTCTTTGCGTCTTCGGAACCTTTTTTTTTCCTTATTTGGATTTTAGTGATTGCAAGTGTTTGTTTTACAAAGTTTAATAATCCTTGGTATTATGACTCTCAATTTTAGTCCCCGTTTGGTACTCTTTTTTTTCAAAATATATTTTTTTCTCTCTTCTTTTCAACCACATATTCTTTATTAAAATAATATTACGCGTAAATAAAAAAAAAATTCCTTATTTTTCAACCACACATTTCCCATCAATTTACTATTCAAAAATACATTTTTACATAAAAATATCTCCCAAACACCCCCTTAGTCATTATATTAAAAGAAAACATTTTTTTTCCGTTGATGTCTATGTAGAAGCATTCTGAACAACTGTGTTTTTTAATCTTTTCTTGATAATGAATTGTTTCTGATGATTCTTGAAAGGGTTCTCTAGGCATCTATAAAAAATATTGGGAAATAGGCACTTCAATTATAGTGGTTTTGTGAATACATCTGCTTAGTATAAATGCTTTATATAAGTTCATTTTCTTTTTTTATTGTTGGTGGTTTATGTGCACTTCCTTTCTTTTCATATAGCTTTAACTAATTGTTGGTGGTTTATATGCAGCAAGAGGATTTTTAAAGTTTTCAAAAATTGAATAGATATTGGAACCATTTGGATAGGGTACGAATATTTGCCACTAAAACTGATGAAAGAAATCAAATGGCCAGTGCTTGCCAGAGGAGGTATGAATATTTGCCACTAAAATTACATACTTTTTTGCTGATTATTAGACTTTTCTCTGATATTGAAGAAAAACGTGCGTTGCATATTTGTTAGTGAATATTAAATATAAGTATATGTTATATTCACTCATTACCTTAATGTTTGAGATGAATTTTTTTTTTTTAAATGAAAAAAAATCAAGATAATGACTAAAGTTGAGAATCCTGATCTTAAGGATTATTCTCCAATAAACAAAATTCAAATTCAATTTAAATTTATAGAGATATAACCAAAACAAAACTTACTAAAAAAGAAAATAATGCATAAACGAATGAATTTGCCCAAAATTGTTCATTGGCACGTTTCCAATCAAATTTGACTAAAATTTCATAAAAAATAGACAACATCAAAATTTCTTCAAAAATTGAAAAATTGAAGTTCTTAGCTTAAAGAAATGAGAAAAAAGAAAAAAATTTCGAGCAGCACTGTTCTCCGCACTGCACGGAGAGTGTACAATGCACTCTTTGTACTGCACGAAAGGCATCTCCGGAGAGCGCACTACGAGATGCCTCTCCATGCTTTAATGAAAGGATGTGTTCCAAATGTGGTCAGTTTTAGTACTTTAATGAAAGGGTTCTTTCGGGAGAGGAAGGTCGAGGAGGGTGGTGCATAAGATGATTGAGCAGGGGTGTCAGTTCTTGGGTGTGACCTATGAGATTTTGGTCGGTAGGCTTTGTTCAATGGGGAAGCAGACCAATGCGTGTGATTTAATTCTTGATTTTCTAGAAAAGGAATTTTATCTAAAGGGTTTGATTATTTTGGGCTAACTGAGAGCCTCTGTTAGGGTGGGAACGGGAAGAAGGCATTTGAAGTGATCGACGAGTTTTGGAAGAAAGCTAATATGCCGAGCTTGATTGCTTGTACAACTTTGATTGATAGTTTACGGAACGTAGGAAGGATTGAGATGGCATTTAAACTAATGGAATAGATGCTTAAAGATTGCATTGTTCCATATAGCGTGCCTTTTAATTGTCTGCTAAGTGATATGTGTAATTCTGGAATACTTATGGAAGCAAATAAGTTTAGAATATTGGCTTCCAGAAAANCTTTTAATTGTCTGCTAAGTGATATGTGTAATTCTGGAATACTTATGGAAGCAAATAAGTTTAGAATATTGGCTTCCAGAAAAGGCTTGAATCCTAATGGTATGACTTATAGGATTTTGATTTTAGGTTATACGAAGGAAGATCGAAGGAACGAGGGGGAAGTTCTGCTGGATGAGATGTTGGATAAAGGGTTTGTTTCTAATATTACAACCTACAATAATTGATAGATGGACTTGGTAAAGCAAAAAAGCCATCTTGATTAACTACAAAATGTTAATGTGGAAAGATGACGAATTTACATTGAGGCCTAAGAGTTTGACTTAATGGAAATGAATGCAATTGCCTTAGAAGAAGCTGATTTATTTTTACCTTGAAGAATTGTAAGATGGTAATGTAATTTGTATGTTTAACATTTTTAATTCATAACTCTAATTTAATTGTCTAAAATTTCAAAGAATTATGTTGCTTTTGTTCTACCACATCTTAGCGGTAGGCAACTGGTTAGCAGTTCTTACTATATGTTGAGTGGAAAAAAGTTTATTTGATGGAGTACAACAAGCATTAGAATTTCGCAACGACAACTTGCGGTATGAAATTGCATCCTCTTTATCATGTAACTTGTTTATACATTTACTATTGTGGGTTCAATGTCAATATTTTGCAAGAGGCCTTGACCGAAAGGTTCTATTTGGAATTTCTTAGGAGGAAAAGGTGCTTGCAAGTTGTAAGCACTTTGTTCTTATAAGCTCTCTTAAGAATCTATGAGATCTTGAGGCTTTTTCAACAAATTAAGAGGGTGTTTGACACCCATTTTTATGGAAAAATAAATTTTAGAATAGTAGATTGATAGAGAATGTGTGGATGAAAAATAAGGAATTTTTTAAGAGGGTGTTAGACACCCATTTTTATGGAAAAATAAATTTTAGAATAGTAGATTGATAGAGAATGTGTGGATGAAAAAAGGAATTTTTTTTATTTACGTGTAATATTATTTTAATGAAGAATATGTTGTTAAAAAGAAGAAAAAAAAATGTGTTTTGATAAAAATGAAAATCAAACTAGACCTAAAAATGGTTATCATGATCCTGCCACAAAAATAAGTTACCCTAACTCATTTCTAAAGCACCAGAAGAAATTAAAGTGCTTCAATGCAAAACACTTGAAAATGTTTATAAAAGCAATAGAAGGCTTATATGCTAGGCACTTAAAAATGGTTATAAGATTGACTTAAAATGATTAGGAACCCACAGTTCTTATAAACATTTCCAAACATTCCGCTACAAGAAGGCCTTATAAGCATATTGGACTAAATTGCACTAAAGGTAGTTGAAGATGTGAAAAATGACATGTATGTGAAATCTTTAAATTGAAATCAAAGAAGTACAAACTACATTTCTATCAAAAATGACAAGTTTATGGATGAAGTTTCAAATCTTGTACTTTAATTACTATTATTGAAAATAGCTCAATTTCATAAGGTTTTAACTAACTATTGATAGTTCACTTCATCAAGATCTAACTTGAAAGCAACGCATATTCATGAAATGAATATTGTATTAGTAGAACTATATTTTTGTCTAGAATCCCCTTTTGTGTGAAATAAATTTGTTGTAACTTTATAAAGTTTCCAAATTTTTAACTAGTGTATTTATTTATCATAGTACTATATGCTGCTACTATATTAATAATGATGTTCTACAGCTTCCTTTTTCTAATCTATATTCACGATTTCGTTATATGTTGTATCTATATTGGTATAGACCAAAACATAGAAGCAATCGACAATGTGTTATGTGGTTAGGGGAAAGATGGTGCTCATGTGTTTCGCTAAGGTTTGAAGAACATTTTAGGTTGTTAGGACTTGTGCTCAAACTTGGGTATCTTCTATCTATTTTCCAAACATAATCTTAAAGTTGAGCTCAATCACATGAACCGTGGCAAACTTAGTTAATTAGTATCAAACACGTCAAACTATGCCAACAAAACAATTGTTGTTAGCTCATTCATTTTTTATTTACGTATAATTTGTATTAATTTGGGAGTGACATAATAAGTTGTGAGGTTTTAAAAAGTTTTAACATGTTGTAAATTTTTTCTTATATCATCTAGAGGTTGACATAAATA